TACAACTTACAAAACCCGTGTTCTTGTTTTGTCTCATCCTGGCGTTGCGGCCGCGTCTGGTAATGTACACGAGTTGTTAACTTGACGAAGAGCAAGCGACTTGCTAACGCTGCGCGATGGCACAAAACAGTTTCTTCACGCTTGCGGTCTTCGAACTTCAGAGACGACTTCGCAAGACGCAACAAGCTACAAACCAGTACGCACAACTTTTCCGCGTTTGCCGCGCAAAACTTGACTTCTTCCTGCGTTTCGGCTAATATTTACTGCCTTATTGTGTACTAAACAGAAACTTATCTAACAAACATTAACCACAATACATAAAAATAACTTTCGGTTAACACTCGGTGTTTAAATTTACGGAAATAAATTGTATGTAATTTAGTTTATTTGACTTTTTGTTCAATTGCGTTTTATCTAAAAATCGCTGCCGTCTCTATGGGACGAGATGAAATTGCGAAATTTGGTAGTTGACTCCAGGGCGTAATAAAAGATTAGCTGCTTCATATTTTATGCGGTGAGGTCCCGGCTGGTCGGGATTAGCTCCTTCGACGGTCCCTCGCCGCCCGCGCCACCGCCACCACAGAATAAATATCTGCTTTTGCAGCGCAGATGAAAAGCAGATAAACGCGCCGAAATCAAAAAGAATTTATGAAATATGTTTGGGTTGCAAATGGGTATAAAGGTACCCAAGGACGCACAGCGCGGCGTCTTATTTTTTCAGATGAGACCAGCATTAATAGGGGACGACCAGAAAACCTCTTATTCCCAAGTTTATCCTTTGATACTCAAAAAACATGGAATTATATACATATATCATGAAAGATTGCTTACATATGATTATATTTTCATATTTTATATAATAAATAATTCTTTTTGTTGCAAATATAAAATTAATTCCATGAGTAATATTCTGTAAGTGCTGGAAAAATGTGTTTTTGTACTAACTCGAAAGCGTGTTAATTAATTTCAGACATTGTTTTGATAGCCGTAAAGCAAACAGTTTTCGATTTGCCTCGAACATCATTAACGCGCTCGTCGCACTTGGCGAGCGAAATCATAAAACTTTTTCAATTTGGAGCGCACTATTTGAATTGCCGCTCGTTTGCGCAAACGAATGCCTAACGCAATCGGTTGAGCTAATTTCCGATGTTCTCACACACCCACACTCACCTACACACACACATTTTCTTCTACTGTTACCCTCCTCTTACACGCACACGTTTTTGTCTTAATTTGGAATTCTAGATTTTGAATTTTCGCCGGAAGGCATTAGCGCAACAACACACATAACATAATGTAAATTCTCTAATTATCTCGAATGCGTGAACGCGAATTAGTAGAATGGGACACCTTCAATCTGCCTACACCGGCGAGGCGAGGGAAACTCGTACGAAGGTTTGAAGTCTTAAGGGAAGTTCCGAGAGACAAAAGGTTTCCTTATTTCCAACCTAGGTAACTTCGTACACGACTTGAACGCATGGTTTCCACGCTGGTTAATTCGCAGGTGGAGGAGTGATATCGGAGCACCTCGCTAAAGATTCCCGCGAGATTAACCAAGGCGGGTGCCTTCCGGCGTGAGTTGGAAGCTTGCGTCGCGTGCCACTTCCGTCGTTCTTCGGTAATCTCTAACGCACGTCCTCATACATTCAAACGACTCAGACTCATTGTTATCAACGTGCGCTAATGTTCCATAATGTTATATTGTTCAAAGCTTTCAATTATCAAGACTGAATAAACGTCGAACTGCTCAAAGCACCACGCAAAACGGTAGGAAATCTTGGCAAACGTGAAATCTCTTTGGAAATAAACTCATAATAGAGAATCAAACAGAAAACAACAATGTACGATCGTATGAGTTAAGACTTTAAATTTTGTTACAAGATGAATGTACGCTTTCATCTTTTACAAGTTAACCTAAATGTAATTTTTTAGTTTTTGTGTTATAGGTGTGAGTATAATTTATATCTTGAGAGGAGTTTGCGCTTTCAGCACTCGTAAATCAAGTGCTCACTTAAAAGTACATTATGTAATTACTACAAGTGCACGTTGTAGATACTTCTACCTACGGCACACTCTTTAATCATTTTTCAAATGAAATGTTTGCTTTTGACTGCAAATTTAGTAGAAGCAAAAAATGCGAGAAAAACAATTCGGTCAGATAAATTGCTGCAAAAGCTGGGACCAAATGAAAATATTCTAGATGTGAATATTGGAATAGCCAAGCTTTAAGGTGGAAAATACGCAAAGATGACGTCGAGGATTCGCGCGCGCAAGGCGAAAATTAAAAAGTTTATAATTTATGTGCTGTTTGCTCGCCGATGCCTTCGTTATCAACTCTCAAGTTGGTAGCTTGAAAAAAACACCGCTGGCAAGTGGCAAGTCAAACATAGCAAAAAAATAAACGAAAAATAAGAAAAACAAAAAAGTTTTCTAAGCTGAAAACATCTTTACGAAAGTTTTAAATAAACAGTCAATTTAAAAAAAGTAAAATGTTATGTTAAAGTTTGTGCGTCAAAAATCCAAACATCGACCTGCTTTTAAATGAGACTCACAAACGTCCCTTACATGATCGATTCGTACGCATTCCGGATGCGCGCCACTTTCCGACCCTGAACCGCCACCGCGGCGCACGGGAAAAGCAGTAAATGCAAATTTATGTTTGACTTGTGCGCCACGTGTGCTGCGGTTGTTCGGGATGGAGTAGATGTGCGGGATGTCGGGATGTTTGCCATCCGATCCCGAATCGAAACGATGCGATGCGATGAGGCTAAGTGATGTGTTCGCTGATGTTCTCGCTTCCCGTTTTGTTCACGGCCCCATCCACCCCCGGCAACCGCGCCCCCGCATATGATATGCACGGACGTGTAAGTGGCTTGTCGAACTCGGCCCGAATCGAACAAGTCAAACAACTCGGATGTATCTTCCGTCTTTCGCATTTCCCACATCCAACATTTCAACGCATCAACATTCTGACATCTCTCGCATCCTGATGCGGCAGTTTTACGGTAAAAAAAAGTGCCCGAAACGCACTTGAGTGGCATTGAGTAGACTTGACTTTTTCGAATTTTAAATCTTTAATAAATCACAGCAGGCGTCCATCCGGCAAGTGATAGGCAACCAAACATGCACGCGTGTGACACATGGCGCGGTCGAGTTTTTTAGCTACTCGTTCGAATTCACGCTGCGTTCGAGAGGACCAGTTTGATGAATGATTGAGATGTCGTCCGGCCGATGTGCAGTCGCCAGTGAGGGATTCATTTAAGCGTGGCACATTAACCGCTTCATGTCATCCCCATTCCAGTATAAACTCTTACGCTCCAAGGCGTTTAATCAATAGCTGCGAGTTGACATTACGCTCTGCATTAAATCAAATCACCGATCATTTATAACAAACCAATTTACTTAAATTAATTTCTTAGTAAATGTTATTTCTGCAAAAGAATTTGCTTCAAAACTGCGACGTTGCGCTTTTGTTTCCAGTGGTAATAAATGGTTTTTAATTAATCGCCAAGCACGCTCCGCGAAGCAAACGTTGTTATAACATAATTTTTGCGCGCCGTCCATAATTCCTCTCCATTAATCTCGAAACAACATTGCTCTTTGCGCGTCGCGCGACGGGTAGCAAAAAGTTAAACGACCATTAAAAGAAACAAAAAAGTGTTAGCAGATGCGTGCTGCTTCATAAAACGCACCTGCATCATTTCGCCATTTTGACGCATTTGTTTTGCAGCTTAAACAAAAGAAAGAAACAACGTGAATCTTTGCATTTCGCTGAGTTTGCATTTCCAGCACAAACCATTATGAATCGTCATCGTTTCAGATTGTTCAACATTCATCTTTACAATATTTTCGATTCGCCCGTAATGGCGCAATATATTATTTTGCTTGCTCCCGTAACGCTGGAAAATCCCAATCCTAAAAACAAAACGTTTTCACATTTCACACTTTTGTCTTTTTAGTTCCTACTATGTTAGGCATTCCACTGCAGGTTCGCGCTGATGTGTATCGTAAGGTGGGCTGCATACGTTATGCTGATTTCCAGCGCGTATTCAATAGTTTACTCAGGGGAGGACTGCGCTGTTATACAAAAAGATAGAGGCAAAGTGAGAAGAAGGCAAGCAGGGGCGGTGTGAACACGAAAGCGCAACGAGCACTCGCGCGATCATCCATAATACATGGAACTGCCGTAAATAACGCAAAAGGCACGAGAGATTTATTACGCATCGCGCTTCTCGAAAGTAAACCAGCAAGACAACACGTTACAGAAAAATATTTCAGTAAAAAAAGAACCACAATATAAATAAAAATTATATTTATCGCCATTTGTAGATGCTGTTAGCGCCATCTGTTGAGAAATTTAGCAAACAAGATAGTTTGTTTCACATCATGGCGTAGTTTCAGCCGCACGGTGAGACAAAACCACAATTTTGCCAAAGATTTATGAACCGTTTGCCGCGTTTGCTCAACGGCAAACCGTGAACTGTTCAACTTCATGTATAAACTATGAATTTATAGTTTTGCGCGCACATCTGATGACAGAATGTTCAAACATTCAAAAGATTTTATTTCGCGTTTTGCAATTCACGCAGTTCTGTTCAAGCCTCATTTTTTCGAATTCATATTCATATTATGCTTTTAAATCGTAATTAATTACTCACTATACATCTCCCACATGATATTAATAATGGTAAAGTTAACTTTTATATCGTTTTATATTATTTAACTTGTAATGTTTTTGAATTTATATAAAAGTTTAAAAGTAGAAACCGAGGATTTATGAACTATCGCGTGAGTCCTGTTCAGTTCGGTTTTGGTCTGTTCGAAAGTAGACGTCTTCGAGCTGTGAATTTATCGCCTCGCCGCTGGAAAGTTTGGCGGTGAGCACGACGAAACAGTGTGCAATTGCGCTGTCACATTATGCTCTTCGGCGTGAATTTATATGAGAATAATATTGTTCCGTGTTACACCATAAATTATTTTTTAATAAAAATACAACTCACCTCAAATGGGTCCATTCTACGTTGTGTCGCCCTCTATCGGCGTGCAGTGCTGAATTTCATACAACAACGTATCTGGAAAATACAAACATTCGTTAACTGAAATTCATCTATGCAACGTCGTGAAATAGGATATAAACTCGAAAACGAAGAAAAAAATTATAATATTCCGGCTATAATGTGAGAGAGCCGTCATAAATGCGGATAAGCGTTCCTCATTCCTACTGCCAACGAAACCGTCGAAAGCTCTCGCCCGGATGGCGGCTTCCCAAGCTATAACCGCAAACTTAATACACACCAACCCCAAGCGGGGGTTCTCGGTCGAGCGGGGAAAAAGCCTGAAAGCTCATTGCGGTCCGACCGGAATGCGGCCAGCAAAAAAAATAAACGCGCATCGAAGGCGATAAAAAGCTCGAAGTGTGAGAATGAAACAAACGAAAAACGAACGCGCCAACCGCGCGCGAAAAGAAGAGAAGTGTAAATAATCTTGCGCTAACGAGCCGAAACAAGGAAAGCTCGAAAAGCCGAGATAATGCTTTTCCAAAAACGCTATAATATAGTTATATAACTATTGTATATTGGTCATAATCTTTCTTTATTCAATCCTATCCATCAACAATAACATAATCATATTCAGGCATAGAAATAAAAAAGCACATAAGCGCCTCATAAATATAAATATTTGTATAAATATTATTTATTTGCAAAAACAAGGTAAAAATAGATTAATGGTAACTACACGTACAGGCTGCAAACAAAAAATGAAAATACACTCGTTGCACATGTTGGTTTATTGCAATTATTAGTGTTTGTGCACGTTACTTCGGATAAAACCGCCTGCATTTGTTTTCGTTTCGAAATTTATTCATATTTTCTCTGATTGTATTCACATACGCTTCGTTTTTTATTCATGTAATTTAAACAAATCCAAAATTTGCGTTTATTTGCATTGAAGTCGATCTGTTTTTCTGTTACTATTCAATTTATACATTTACACAAGCACCAATATTGTATGCAACCAAGAATACAATGTATGCCAAGCAATTGTTAAATCTAAAGAAAATTGTGTTGTCCAACTTGCACGCCGTCGCCAACGTTTGTGTTTGTCTTGACTGCTGGCCGAATTTTTCTCTTTCCGCCCATTTTTCAAACATTAAACTGCCAAAAACGAGCGCTACGTATAAAATTGTCGTCGTTTGTGAGATGCGATGTAATCGTCCCCGTTCACGATGTGTTTCCGAGTGCGCTGGCGTGAAAAGCGCTTGTAATGCGGCGGGCGGTGACAGGGAGTATGGGGGACGGTGGCAAACGAGCGGCCGAGACTAAACGCTAAATAAATTGCAGTCTTAAATATTTCCCGCGATGTGCATGTGCAACGGCTTTTTGCGAGACAAAATGTGTAAATCCCATGATATAAATGGGCGCCCACAGAAACAGCAAAACAGCTCAAGAAATGTCTAATAAACAAGATTTATTTTCGAAAATTATTTTTTTCTTAAATTTTCGCGCATGTGCAAATACGAAGCGTACTAAAATTTTTACTAGCATTTTAAAGTGAGTTTGGTTTGGGTATCGGTTTATTCGCTATAATCAGACAACGATTTCGCCAAAATGCGCAAATCGCATCCGATCAATCATCATTATGTATGTTATGCGGATTGCACGGTGCTGGTTGGTAATAAAACAATACATACAGTATGTTTGTGGTACAGTAATCTAGTTGGTTTTTGCGTGTCTGTTTCGCGTGTGAGCAAGTAGGTAGTTACCTATACATATTCATACATTCGTGCGCCATCTGCAAATAGGCCGTGGCCTAGTCCATGTCGTAGGAATAATAAAATATGTAGGTCGACACCGAATTGTAATATGCCGTACAATGTGAGCGACGCGACGTGTAACTTGCCAGGATATGGTTATTTTATACTTTGATAATACAAGAGGGTACAGCGAATAAAGACACAAACGGTTTTTATTTCATTGGTCGCCTATAAATGGCATCAATTCAACAACAATCGAATGTCCAATTTTATACTTTTGAGTGCTAATTCGCAAAAATATGTTCGGGCCATTGCCACTAATATTCATCGATCATATTTTGGCATTCTAAATATTGTATAATTACATCATCAATTCTCATGTTTAAAAATTCATAAACGAGTTGACACAAGTTTAAAATGTGTTTACCTAAACATCCTGTATATTTGCTTATTTGTGCATTCGACAAAATTTGATTGTGTTCCCAGCGAAATTCGCCATAATGCGATAGCTCGTTTTCTCTTTATTATCGTCTCGCATTTAATGCGAGGCGCACGTGAAACAAATCGAACACGCGAGATATTAATAAAATGGCCGAAGCGCCCGATTCCGGCGGAACTCGCGCATTGTGCGAGCTCCGAACACAAGCTTTTAATTCGTCGACCATGAAAAGCGCACCAAAACGATAATAACGAGGTACACCGACAAACGCTTGCGCAGAACCTACTTGATATTAATAAGCCAAACAAATCAGGCATAACTTTACATGACCCTGGATACATTATAAAATTTAACCTCACAGATAACCTCAATATTAAAACTCTAAATTAAAGACTACAGCGTACACGCTGCACCTAAAAACATCAAAACGGTAAACCCTTAGTGCTAATAACTCAATAGTTCTTTGAATATGTCAATTAAAAGCCTCTCTACGTAGTCCTACTATTAAATTTTAATAACTATAACAACCTCTCATTAAACTGTCAGTCGTACTCTTACATAATATTAAAAAACGCAAGTTTGTATTATTAATTATCAAAAAACGCAATTTTATTGTGAAATTATTATAATACATTATAGATATTTAAAAAAAAATCACAATCCGAGTCCGAAACTGACAAGAGCAGATCTCTTTGCACTTTTTCATTTATGAATAGATAGAAATATGATATTTTGCATATTCTATCCAAGTTTTTATTTTATTAATCCCTTTAGTATCCGAGATCGTCGCATTTTAAAAACTGAAATTTTTGATTGTTAAGGCAGGGTTTTGTTGTAGTTTCGATATTCAAATTTAAATTCAAGCGAAAGTAATTAAAAAGAAAAAATTTGGTCGTTATTCAACAAAAAATAATTTAAAACAAAAATTGCAGCGCGTCATATAACTACAGTATGAACGCAAGAAATTCTACGTAAATGAATTTATTTGGAATACACCTACCTACATGGCACCCTCTGCACTATGTTTTCAAATTTTTAAATTAATACTAATTTTTTACCGGTAGTATAAAAGATTTCCTGAATTAATTAATGTATTTTATATAGGGCATTTATATTGGGCATTTTAGGGCATTTTCTAAGGCTTTGGAAGGTTATACGGATATTCCGGTTGTAGAGGATCTCTTGGTCTTCGTTTTCGTTCGATTATTGGAATATTGTAACTATCCTTTATATTATACAAATAAGCTATCCGATTACGAGCACTATGTTTGTCTTGTCGTCATACTAGAGCGCGCTTGTTGACAGTCATTAACTCGCATGTGGCAAGCGGATTAGAAAGTGTTTTAATAGGTGTGCCTAACTTCCATCAGCCGCCGTTACGGATTATGGCACTTCCGCTCTCTTCTTCACTGTTAATCAACTAGTAAACACCGCAACAACACTGAAACAACTCGCGTGAAAATGTCAGAAATGATTACAACGACCCTTGAGTAACTTAAAACGTTAAAGTGTATATTTTATCAATGTCGATTCACACATGAAAAAATTTTTATGCATCCAGTTTTCTCGCCCTCTTCCGGTTCAGGAACGTTATCGTGATGGTCCCAAATTTTACGTTCGGCTTTACAAAATAACGCGTAGGGAATGATGCTTACCACAGAGATACCGAGACTTATGTAAGCAACAAGATCCCATTGTTCAAAGGTATTCTGTAATTAGTATGAATATTTAATATCTAGACAGTTGATAAGTTAAGTCAAAACCTCAGATGCCACATTTCCAATCGTGTATGGTGCAATAAATCCAGCAACTCCACCAGCGGCGTTTACAATCGCCGCCACAAGGCCAGTGTGGTGTTTAGTAATATCGATAATGCTCACTTTTAGGCCTCCATAGAACATGGATTTGGTAATCATGCCGCAGGTGATTGCCGAGATGGCACCAATGCGATTACAACGCAATTTACAACAAACAAGGAGTAAAACAGTTGGTACCATGGTTGCCATGAATGTGTTAATTACTCTTACTGTTACTTTCTTCACCCGGCAATGGACTACCATAGCATCTGTGATGGTACCGAAAGTAACAGATCCAACAAACAGGGCAACTTGTGGAATGCACACAAGTAAACCAGCCTGCTTTGATGTAAACTTTAAAACGTCATTTAAATATTTAGGAAAGTTGGTGATAACCGTGAAAAGGGTATAATCATTTCCAAACTGGCAGATGATACAACCCCACACAGTCCAATCTGATAATATAGCTTTCCAAGGGACTTTGTGTTTTTCCCCAACGGCTAAAATCCAACTTTAGTATTAAAAATATTTCAAAATTGGTGTAATATTACCAATTCGCACTTGTAAATACTCATACTCTTCGTCTGTAATATAAGGATGAACTTGTGGACTTGAATAGACAAATATAGTAAACAAAACACAAAAGACAATCCCAGCAATACCATAGATATAAAACACCCACACCCAAGATTTCATATTTTCCAAAATAAAAGCAGTTGGAATGTTTCCCACTATAGTACCGATGCTGAGCGAGGACAATACCACACCACCTACTAACGCGCGTTCAGCATCTGGTATCCATCGTGCCATCAACAGAGTAGCACCTGGATAAATAGGTGCTTGGCCAAACCCGGTCAACACTCGTAACCCAACAACAAAATGCCATGAAGTGTAAATAGTCATTGGTGGTATTGCTAAAGTGCACACGCTCGAAATAAAACAACCAATAGTGACAACCCACTTGGCACCAAACCTATCACAAAGATATCCGGCTGGTATGTTAGTCAGCAGATAACCGATATAAAACGATCCAAGGAGTAAGCTCTGAGTTTGTTCGTCCCAGTGAAACTTTCCACCTTCGATGTCCATGATCACAGGTCGATCTATACCGGATGTTGGCATTGGGCACGAGTTAGCCACATCGGCCTTAGTGCGATTTACTGGAATAGTCATTTCGGTGATTGCTAGACTTAAACATACTCTATGAGTATAACAGAGGATAATCCCAGTCATTATGAGAAGTACCATGACCAAACGATGTGTCGTCGCTCGACCTATAATACAAAATAGATCATTTGGAGATATTACCCTATCATGTTTGCTAACACTTGCTTACCACAGCAGACACATCGTAAACAATGACAGTATAAATTGACGGGAATGCAGCGAAGGAATTCGATAGTTTCAGTCCCGCTGATGTTACTACGGTTATCATCTTTAGGCGGCATTTTTTCACGTAAAATTTATCTAAAAAATATTGATATATAATGAATTGGCATTGTGTCATTAACTGTCTATTAATTTATTTTGTTTCAAACAAACTAGGAACTTTTGTATAAAAATCTTAAGAATTTGGTTTTATTTCTTTTCTTTTCCGTTTTGCTGTACTGTGGTTGGTTCCAGTAATGAACGTGCATTACAATAGAAAACTTTGGAAATTCCAAGCTGCACGAAGGGTTTTAACGTCTGCGCCCAGCTGCCGTTTTTCCACAAATTGAATTCAATGGAATCAATATTTATGGCCATTCGTGGGCCACGCTGCCGAATTCCGTCCGCAGAAAAAAAAGGTAGAGCGCGTTTGAGAGTCTTCGCCGACACTCCTCGCAAAACTGATTGTGAGTACGAAAATATAAAAGAAAAACGTAAAAACCAAAAAATCTGAGAACGCTACAATCGTAAACAACGCTTATGCGCACGGGTGAGAAACCACAAATAAGTGGCTGAAAAAAAAACGGGGAACATGTACAAAAAGGTCACAAAACTTTAATACATATTTATAGCGGCCGTCGTAGATTTTATCGGAAATTTATTTATATTTATATCCGTTTCTAACCTCGTTTCAAGTTGGCATATAAAAGCCTGGTCAAAAGGTGGAACAAACCTAACTACCATATAAAACCAATGAATTTTTGTGCACTGTGCAGAAAATAATTCAACAAAATGCAATAAACGAAAGCTCCAATGTATCGATATGCACCACTTCACTGAAATGAACGCACTTTGATCTTACATCATTGCAGACCCTTTTACAAAGGACCACCACAAACTGGTTGGGTAAGACAAACGAATGTTATACGCGTTTTGAACACGTTTCTGCTGGCTGCATATTTCTCGAAACTGATAGTTATTCCGCATTTTGTGCTCTCAGCACACCGACAAAGGTGTGAACGTTCTGTTGCGTGTATTTATTATCTTGGCAGGGAGAAGCAATGGACGACCGAGAACATTGAACACATTTTCTGTTCTTTACGTCTGATCCTTGAGAGACGCTTCGAAGTTCAATGGAAACTCGATTCCACACTCATTCCTTCTGCCATAGTCCGCATGGAGTTGAGGGGGTGGCGGCGGATGTGAAGGCTATTACAGTGAACAAAAGCGGATTTTCTTTTCATCACTCAACTCAAACCTACTACGCGTGGCAGAATCACATGTGAAAGCTGACCACGTCTAAGGGCGGATCTTTTCTTTTGCTAAACATTTTTATTTTTAACATGGAACATCAGCATCAAGTCCAACATTGCTAAGGCGTGGACAGTGCGAGTTCGAATGTGAATATCTGCTAACCTATATACTAGCGACTGCTTTGTAGAGAAGTTGGAAGGGTAGGTTAGGTATGTGATGACCACATACAGTAGCTTGAAAAATGATGCTCTGCCATGCTGCGCCATCGCAATGGGAAGAATTAATCAAAGTCAAGAAACGTGGAGAACGATTGCCAACAAGGAACTGCACAGAAAAGCAAAAGGCTTGAAGAAAACTAAAAAAGACCTTAAGCTTGCGCGCGTATTGTGCTTTCGATAGTTACAGACCTCCGAGAGAGTAAAGAATGGAGAATGAACATAATAGATATTTATTTGTTCGAATATTCTGTTGATGAGACAAACATCTTATCGATGTTTTATTCAAACCATTTTATGATTCTAAATTTTGCTATTTATAGTCTCAAAAATATATTATGCTTGTGTTGCATTTTTCATCACAAGGAAGCAAATGAAGTCGTCTTCAGACATAAGAGTCAGAGACACAAGGTATCAAAATGAAACGCGAAAGCTCTGGAAAGCCTCCGAAATCCCTTTTTACACGATGCGACGTGTCATCCAGAGAAATATAAAAGTTCAACGGCTAAATTAAATTTCTGAACGAGTTTAATAAAGTCCAACAGCAGACAACACCGGATATGTAATAAACACACTGAAAAAATTTGAAACGAATGACTGCAGTTACGAAAAAAATTAAAAATCCAACTAAAACTACGAAATAAAGCTTACAACAGACCAAGTAATATGTATATTTGAATTGTTCATACCTCACTCAAAAATGTTTATTAAAGCAAACAACTAGCGAAAATCAAATATTTATATTTTTGCAGTGTTGCAAACTTAACATTTTATATTTCGGACAAAAACCATGCATAATCAGTTGACGTTGAAAGTCCATCAGTAGATGTTGGCTATTTTATTTTTATTTTTAACTGGGTGTGAGAAAGTTGAATCCCCATCGGACTTGGGAGGGGGTGTGAAATATGGCTTAGTAAATTACGCCGGGCAATAAAGGTTACACACGATTGAATGAACTTCACCCCGCGCGTCCCCGACGCATTTTTTCCACTGCTAGACTTTTTCGTTGTGATTGTGTGCATGTGGTGATATGGGTGTGTGTGTTTGGGGGTGGATTGTCTGAAATGCCCGAAACGAAATTGGCCGGCACTCGGCTCGCACCCTTTCCGGCGCAACGAATGGCTTTTTTTATCGCTCAGGTTCATCTCCATCTCTCACACGCCAGCCATTCACCTAGCTGCCGCCACTGCCACTGCATTCGTGTTGAATAAGGGTGGAACATAGAGAAAGCTTGAGCAAACGTGCCGCAACGCTAATTTATTTATATTTGAATGGTATTTATGCGAGCGCACGTTAAAGCCGTGTTAGGCCGTGTATGTCTAGTGGCGCCACCACGCATTGCTCACTACAGTAAGCCGCCCGCTGCCTCCCAACCGCCCAAATGGCGTGTGTGTCAGATAATGAATTTGTGTTTTGGGAATTTCGGTTTTTGCCTGTTTCGCGCGCACTCCTGACAGGCGAGGTGCGGGTTCGATAAGCTCAGGTGGCTGAGAAAATCACATTCGCCAGGCCTGGAGGGTGAGATCGCGGGGGTAGTTGGCGCGTTTTGTGTGAACGCCATTTATCTGCAACTTTAACGGACTTTGAACGAGTCTCGAATGAGTTCGCGCGTCGATTTAACACGCTTTAAACGCGACTTCCGGTGCTTTCTAATACGAAAAAACCGCCAACTTGTCTCTGGAGGCGGCGTTTAACATTTTTTCACTAGCTTTTGCTTTAAATTACGATGTTGCAAACTTAAATTACGTAAAACTAAGAAATTGATTGTGAAAAATGAGAAAACTTAATTAAATAATCTTTCAATATCGTTCATCATAGTGTAAAGTGATAAAGTCCATTTAAAAATCTAAAAAGTAAGCATATATAATTAAAATATTAAATAAAAATTAATAAAACAATACGCTAGTAAATGCAGCACGATTAATTTCCGTTAATCCACCACCAGTGAATTTTATTTTCTTCTGCGATCTGCGTATGATATTTTGAACAAAAGTTTTAGCCAATTTCGGATCATTGTACCAATTTGAATTAAATATTGCATCACTGGTATGCAACGCCTAAAACACGTATAAATAAACTGACGAATTAATTACTTATTCAGGGAAAACCACTTCATCAATAACAAATTGGGCCGGGAAGCAATACATTGATAATTGAAATGATAACGTCAACAAATAAAACACACTTCCAACCATATTCAACGGACTCCTAAAAAATTATTTTGCATTCATTGAGTTTTTTTTTTTCATTTTTAATTATGAAAACACTAACTGTTTGGTAAAGACAACAATTTCAATGCATATTGTAACCGAAGTTATGCAGTAATGAATAAGTAATGCAGGAGAAAACATTTCTGCATAAACACGAACAAATCTAAAAGTAAACATATAAATATTTAAGAAAAACAAGTTTTGTAAGTCTACATACTCACTTTAACAAAAAATTATGATATTTCACGCATATAACAGCCTCAGCAAACATATTCTTGCCATTGCCGAGTCGTTGAATGCGTTGATTCAGTAATTTAAACTGTGCATACGTAAACATACTTAAACAAAGGAACAAACAATCGACGGCCAACACAACGAAAGCATCATGCGCGAATTGAAAGCACTGTATAAACGAAAACAACCAGAACGAACCTGGAAAAATAGGATAGTTTCCAACGAACGGCATCAAGCCTCTAGTAAGCGGCAACAGAATAATAACAAAAAATGCAACGTAAATTAAATTAAAAAATGTCTTCGTAAATGTAAGGCACTGTCCTTCTAATTTTGCAATTTTCTTCGCATGCCAAAACATTTCCAAATTATTTATTAAATAGGTAATGTGTTCGCCATAAAATAAAGATATTTGTTTCATTCCCTACAATGGTACAGATTGTATTATGTGCGTAAGCGTAAGCATTACTCACTTGTATATTGGCAGCGACAGTCTTTGCTCCGTTTGCAATCATAACAAACGAATGCGTATTGTTACCAATTAGTGAAGCAGCGTAAAATAATTGAATGCATCGGCATGAAAGCAACACAAGAAGTAATATGTACGTATAGATGCCGCGTCCACCTGGATTCAGATGCAGCCTTTTCAATTTGTTAGTTATTAACGATATAACTTCGGATCGTGCCGTATTCATGGTGACTTTGTTTTCGTTCTGCGAGTTGCGCAAGCAAATTTTAATTTATAGAGCGATGTCAACGTCGAAAATGTTTAATTAATGCATTCACATTGCAGCAAACATGCAATTAATTCAACTAAGTTTTCATGTAAGTTTTTAACTCGGTTAGTTTCTGAATTTTCCATAAAAATGTAAATTTTCAAAGTGGACTAATTACAAGGTGCCGTTGTGAAATATTTGAAAAGTTTATACATAATCTATGTGCATTGGTAACTGCCGATTTCGTATTCAATTTGCTCAGTGAAATTGTCACGCATGTGCAACGCGTAATCGGATCGTAAATAAAATTATCAATTATAATGGTTTCATTATGACCGCGGACGCGCGAACAAATGTGCATGTCGGTGGCGCGACCCTGCAACTCATTTCGGTGATAATAAAATTCTGCTTGCAACATGTTCACAAACGCGTGGATGAAATGTTTATGCACGATTGCAAACGTTTGCAATTGATTCGCGGGCATGCCAGCGATCGCTCGCGAATGTTTGGCAAGCGCAAAAGGACGTAATTAACGAACTTCATAAATCGCCCACGCGGGCATTCAATTAGCGCCGATTGAGTTTAGATTTACTGCCGCCGGCTGCCGTCGATCGGATACGAGTGTTGTTTTTTACTTTTTCTATTCGAAACCTTCAATAACTAGAGTAAAATTGCAAATCACAACGGGCAAACTAATATCCAACTGTTAGTTTGTAAATAACTGAGTTGATTTTACTTCCGATTTTATTACTTTTTCAAACTCATAATTAATTTCAATATTACCATCGAGTACATTTTGAAAATGACTCAAAACTATAATCACAAAATACCATTGTGTGCCTTATTTAATGAATTAATAAAAGCAGATTATAGCGTTACAATAAGACATTGCAAACCATCTTGTTCTGCATGGCTCGCTAACTTAATTTTAAAATTTCAGATCTCATTACACGTGCCTGAAACACGCCCGCAAATTCTTTGGAACAAAGAGAACAAGAACACCATTCAATGGGTCCCGTCGTATCGTCATACCACATTACTTTGCATCGCCTCGCATGTCGGATTTCAATTGAAATGCAAGCACGCTCCGAACATTCGACACGCTCGATGCTTCGACATAGCCGCAGCAGTCGAAGTTAACACGACGGTCGTTATATATTTAAAGCGCAATTGAAAATTCCTCATATTTCAGAAGGGCCGATGCAATGTTCAACTATTCCGAATGTGCAAGCGCGATTTCAAGACGGATGCCCCACATATAGCATATATAACTTTCATAACCATGTCTTCATCTGCGCAAAAGTAGAATAACTAATTAATATCTCGTTCCTTGGTCTTATTATGTGCTCACGTCGTTAATAAGATTCTCTATTTTAATATCAACTTTCAACTTTTATTTTTCACCCTTCAAATTTTATTTTTCCGAAAAAAAAAATAGCTGACATGATTTTCATTATTGGAAAATATGTATATACCGAACTCTGTCAAAATTGGTTCAGTAGATTTTGCATGAAAGAGTCACAAACAAACAAATAAACTAACATCCGCATTTATAATATTAGTTACGATTTGTATAAATAACGAGTGCGATGTTATTCCCAAGGAATACGCTAGACTTGAGTCACTCTATGGTATTACTTCTTTATTATGTATGTACATTCCTGAAAGCAGGTAAACAAGTTTCCTCTACAGCAACAACATTGGTGTCAATTAGTTGACTGCGCAGTAATTGGTCCACGTCGCAACAGCAAACCATGCGCAATTAACGCTATACACGACAGAAAATAATAAAATATGAGTATTATTGTTGAGTCTTATTTAAATCAGAAGATGAAAGAATCCACTATAACCACAATGGTACGCTACGCTTTTTATCAAGCAATTCCATTTTATATGTTTATATGATGACCCGACGGCTCGTAATATTTTGCGGTGGTTTGCGCCCGCCACGACGGGTTTGTTCAACACGAGAAAATCTGTTTAACCCCATGAGCACAAACGCTCGTGCATTCGCGCCTGCATTAGATTATTATTCGTGATCGTATACCTGATCGTGCGCTTTGCATAAAAGATGCTCGCGCCACAGCGGCGGCGTTCAACGAATGCATAATACATGCGAGTGCATATTAGAGGCGCACTTTCGAAGCCGACATCAAGAAAACAGGAACGCAGTGAAACGAAGAGAACAGAAGCTATCGGGCGAGGAAGTGGAGAAAAGCTCTGGTTGGTTTCGAACCATTATTACAAAACGTTTGCGTTCACAGCCGAGAGAAATTTCATTGTCACGAGATGCTGGATATAACATGTAATGCTGTGCGTAATAAAAATTAATCCGTTGAAAACAAAAAAAAAATTCATTGCTTTTTATTTTTTCACATTTTTTTTTTAGATATTCCTGGGTTTTTTTTCAACAAAAGGTTTTTCAAAATCATAATGAAAAATATAAAAATATAACGTCCAAAAATTTGCCAAGAGCGCAAAATCTTTGTGTTATTATTTATTTTCTAGCTTTAATTACAACGTAACTATGCAGAATAAAATTTTGAACTAAAAATTATACAAAATTTAATATTCTTAGAATTGTTTAAACAATAGGAATTTGATGTCAGCCTGAAAGTACAAACGTGCTAGTTAGCCAATTCGAAATCCGACCGTCCATGTCCACATTCAATTATGCCGGAATTTGCATTCAACGGATTGGCAAGCATATTCTGCTTCAAGCAGTAGCTAAGAAGTGAGCCGGAAATGATTGACACCAGAACAAATATTTCCAGCTGAATTCACAACGTCTGTTCTCTGTCATTTTACGTATACAAATGTTTTCACTAACTGACAATTGATGTTTTCACAGTTTTTCTATACTTTTCGCAATTCCAAACAACTTCAATTAAACCTTTTAAGTGAATGCAACATTCAAACAACTTCGATTGAGATGCAGTCATTTGCAACAAGAATTTACCATTCAAACATTCGAGAATATTCCAGTGCGCGGCAAGGTTTTAATCAGCACTCAACTGTATTTTCTCCAATTCATGCACCCACACACTCCAACTATTCACACGAATATTAAATGTACCCGTAAATAAATAAATTCAAAAATACTAGAAGCATTATAACCATAGGTCAATAATTCTTACTCCCAATCGTTAGGTTTTGTGGTATTGTAAGTATTGTGATACGTGTCAATCAATAACCAAAAAGATAATCACACAAATCGCGTTTTTATATGACTGCGGTCTGTCGGGATTATCCGCGTTGTCGATCACTTCGGTGGGTTTCTATGATTTTCCACATTTTTTCCTCATTCATTATTAATCGCGTGCGCTAGCAACGTAATTTGAGCGTGCGCTCAACAACTCATTATTCCCAACTCCACAATTCAACATTTGCTACTAATAAATATTGTTGAAGTTTTTTGTTTCATACTTTATTGAATTTCCGAATAGATTTTTCATATTTTACAAATCGTATATTCACATGGATTAATCTATTTAAAGCATGGTATGAACGTGCAAAACTGACATAAACGCGTTTGCGAACGTAGCACTTAAGAAAATCACACTGCAGGCAGGCAGGAAACAGTCGGAAAACATGAACGTCATGAAAACCCGCCCGAAAGGCGCATGAACTGCAATTTAAGACAACGCGCGCCTTCTGTGCGTCATAAAATTTTACTTCAATCAAATTACTAAATCATCGCGCGCCCCAAGTGCAGGATTTATTTGTTTGCCGAATTAGATTCGTGCATTTGCGGATTACAAACATTTTTCAATCATGTATTCAGTCGCATGACATAATGTCATAATATGGACATAACATAATCAAAAACAATTCCATCTGGTTTTTAATGATTTTCCTTTTTTTTTTTCTGATTAGAAAACTTTAGTTAAGACACAAATCAACTTGTAGGAATATCCCGATGAGAAAAAAAATAACCGTCGACTATTTATTTCTTCCTGTTAGCGTCGCGCCGCGTCGTGCGTGGAAATTTATTAAATAATTTATTGCGGGCGCGTTTTTATTGCCATTGTTGTATCTTTGTATCTCTGGCCGTGCGTTCTGCACAAGTAAATCATTTTTTTGTGAGCTGAACACGCGTTTTCACCACGTTCAGGACGAGCGCCTTATCAAAAAAATATATTACTTAGTTAAAAGGAGATTGGGAGAGAATAAAGAAGATAATCCACGAAGAGATATCCCAAAGCAAAAAGAACTCAGTTTGTGGATGGCAATCACATAAAAACTCATTGATAAATTATTCAATATTGATGTAACATTTGTCGTTATACTTTCATTTATTCATAATAATCCAACCTGCATTGTGCATTATTTAGTAATTATTGTGCTGTGCGCACCACTGACATGGCTGAATACAGTGGAAACTAATCAAAAATGGCGGCGACACAGACACAATCACATTCAACGTCGAACAACGTGGTAATTTCAACAATAGCTTTGTATTGTTTCATTTTTTTAAATTAAAACAGAAAACAGTTTTTGCTTTTTATATAAAATTTGCAATTTTTTTAGTTAAATGTGGAAACAAAACAAAAAGCGATCGTTTCGCATGTTTTCCTCGGAGAGTGGCATCGCAAAAAAGTGGGCGTAACGCAAACGAGCGTTCGGCTTGTGACGACGACGTCGTAGGAAAAGGAAGTTATCCAACAGGAAAGTAAAACCTTAGAAAAAGTCAAGAAAACGGGCGGTAATAGATGTAATAGTTCCTCGGTTCCGTTCTGAAGTTCTTCAGCTCCTCGGTGAGCTTTTAAGGTTAGCTCAGGTTTGGTAAGTGATGACTCGACAGATTTTTTACTTTCCAATGGCGTCTACTCGCCTGGTTAATGATGTCAACATTGAATTGATGGCAGATTGTTTTACAACGTAAAATTTTTACTGCGAAGACATTTTTTACTCTGGAATAATCCTGGATACATAAATCTAAATCTTTGAAAAATGTCCAATTCCCTACTGACCTCCTCGAGTCGAAATGAAATATTCACTGATGACTTTACTTCGAGTTTACTTTCCGCGATGATTGATGAGGCTTTGATACCGCGCCGGAAATCGAAGAAAATCCAAAACTTTTCGATCGAAATGCAAAACGACTTTCATCACAACTCGCTGCTGCTAAACTTCTAAGAATAAAATATAAATTCATGCCCGTGCAATGCATGCGTGCATTGGAAACGTAGGGGTTGAAATGCAAACGAAGTGTGACTCGCGTCGAACGAAATCAATTCAACAGCGCATTTTCACCCGCATTCAATCTAATTCAACGCGACAGTTGAGAAAAGTACGCCACCAAGCATGCACTCGAACGCACACTTTAACTCACCCCTCCCGGGGGAGATAACTCAACTTATCTTCAAACCTAATGGCGTATATGCACTCACTCTAACGAGCAGTTTTAAAACCTTAAAAAAATATTGTCTATTTTATCTTCCCGCAAGAGGGCGTTGTCTCAACTCATCGAAGGGCGTTGAAAAGAGGTTAGGTCTGGCTTCGATTTCCCGAGGGTTTATTATACTTAATAAATAACTTACGCCAGTCGGGCGTGTGCTGGAAGAGCGGTAGGCGAAAATTTCGGTAAGTAAAGGGAGTGCTGAGTTAGTAACGGATGAGTGGTAGAGAAAAACCTACGAAGGGTGGCTGCAGCTCGCCCGAAAATGAAGAAAAGAAGCGTGTGGTAAGGGGAAAAGAATGAAATTGAACACACGCACAAATGATATTGGATCAAACGCGTTATAATATTACAAGATCAATGCCGCCCGCCGATGTTCATCGATGAGAAGGGTGGCAATCTTGTCATCTTCCACAATTGACTATTTCGGCTGGAAATTCTATTTTTCACCTCACATTTTGCAAAAATTTTATTTTTAAAGTTTTTTTTGTTTGCTTAATTTATCACAATTATAGTAATGTCAACTTTTATAGCTCCACGTTGAAAAAATACAATTATCCTGCTGATTCTCTTGATAATGTTTGTAATTTTTGGGCTGACATAGCCATAATAGATTTTCACTTTTTTCGCCGGCGCTTTTCGGCGTTTTGCGCGTTTTATTTGCGCTGGCGCGCTTGGAAAAGGGGCGCAAAGCGACCGGGCGGCAATCTCGCGCGCCACCACTGCCGCTCTTGGGGTGTCGTCGTGATAAACACATTTCCCATTTGCGCCGGACGCGTATAGATTACATCAACAAATACAGCCGATTTTTTTTCATGGCAAAATGTGAGAAATCCCAAATTTCAAGAAGATAAAAATTGTAGAAATACAGTACGTTTAAAAACATTTAAAAAAAAGTATACCTCAGCAAAATAAACATTTTATTTTGACATTTATACAGTTAAAGATTTTTTTCTGTTTGAACTTTGCTATGAAAAATATAAATTCTTATACGCTTTCATTGGAAAGAGGTTACGCTGGCACGCTGTCATGATGACACGGTCCCGAGCGTCGAGATTCATCTGCGCCATTTATTCGAGTTCGAGTTCGAGTCGAGGGCGGCGAGCGACGGCCACCACTCGGTCTTCTGCGACCTAGCCCTCGACGGCAGATAGACGACAATCGTAAATCATACGAACGGCGAAGGTGCGCGCGGAAATAACCGCAGTAAACTAAAAGAAACGGAAGGATGAGTGCCTGCAAACCATCAACTAAACCCTCTGACAAAACACCATTAAAAAAAACGCCAGAAAATTTTTCAATAAACTAAAACCATTTCTAACTAGATTTTTTTTGTGTCTTGAATTTAAAGAGATTAAAAGGTTTTTAAACGTCTGGAATGCATTTTCGTGTGTAATTTTATTTTCGTTGCTCATAAATAAGTCTGGAGACATTATGAGTGCGTTAATGAAATACGATATGTTCGAAACGAACATGAGGGAACCAAAATAACTACCTTAAATCTACTTAAACCATTTTGGAGTATATTTAGCGCCGAAATTACTAGTTTATTTGTCTAAAAATTGTATTTACTGAATTAGTACTTCAAAGAACTGCACACAACAAGTTAACAAGTTAACACATCGCAGGTAAATACTTAAATATTTATTTAAACATTGGAATCGCCCCACATCTAGTTTTAGTAGCGTGCACGGAGTAGAAAATGTCAAGCGGTCAAAGCATCCAAACGTGCTGTGAAGCCTGTGCCGCAATGTGAACACCGCCAAGAATTTGTTTGTAGGTAGCTTCCGCAGGTTCTTTCCTGGAGCGATAACTACAGACGTTTAATTTAAGTACAGTTTACGGTTGACTTTCACCGCCACTGCCACTGACATTTATAAAAAGAACATTGAAAGGAATAAGTGCGCACGGGCACGAAAATAAAGCATTTTGCTCCCTGCTCCCCAGCGTGAAACACGAAATGTAAGTCAAACTTGGCGCACGCAAACAACTCGCCAGCACAAAGAGGAAGAGTTGCGGCGCGGACAAAAATAGACGTGGAGTTGACACGGACAGGGAATTGAAGAAAATAGCCGTGATGATTGACTTAATGAGTGAAAACAAACACGAATTTTTCAAGCAAACAACAAAATTTTACAAGTAGAGACATCTATAGTCAAATAGGTGTCAAAATTGTACTTCAATTGTAGCAATATGTGGCTATTATATATCACAGACTAAATATGTATGTAAAATGTGTGAAATGGCAAATGAAGCGTGAGCTTTCATATCCGCCTTTGAAAGCTCAAAGCTCAAAGACAGAACGCAATATATATTGTCGCAAAGCAGATGACGTGCGCGCAACATTCGCACAATGTCTGTCAATCCCACATTCGGCGCGTGATAGATATTGCCGAACGACTATCCATCGACTGCCGCCGTTTGCAGTGCGCTTCTTCTATCCCATCAACGACGATATTGTCTGCAGGCACAAAAGATATCAAATTGTATTCATCCAGTGAACATAAATTCAACCCAATAGTTCTAGGCCATTTATTTTAAATATTTAAATTCAATTTTCCATCCGCTGCTAATATTCCTATTTTTGTTTACCAACATTGTTGGAGTGTTTGTAAGATTTATGATGAATGTGAAATTTATGTGATTTTCCTGTTAACTCCTGAAACTCGTGATTCAGAACGAAGCGATGAGTTTTCATTAAGTTCTTGGTCGTCAGAGGAAATTCACATTAGAGTTGAGTTTAAGTGCAAAGTACACACTACTCCAGGTCGAAGTCGTGCGAAGAAAGTTATAAAATTCATACAATATGCATGTAACGTGCCGGCTTATTTAGCACTTAG